AGGGGATCACAGTTCCTTATCAGCAATGGAACAAGGCCTGATGGAGAAAGACTGTGTTCCATTAGCAGAAGCAGGCTTTAAAACGTGGATGATAAGAAACTTCTGGGAATAAAAAGAACTTGTTCTAACCCAATGCAAAGAAACTAAGAACTTTGAAAAAAGGTTTGACGAAATGTTAACAATAACACACAATTTAGAGAGGAATATAAGTGAATTAATGGAGCTGAAAAACACAACATGAGAACTTCGCGAACTATGCACAAGTTTTAACAGCCGAATTGATCAAGCAGAAGAAAAGATATTAGAGGCCGAAGACCAACTTAATGAAATAAAACAAAACGACAAGATTAGAGAAAAAAGGATAAAAAAGAACAAGCAAAGTCTCCAAGAAATATGGGACTATGTGAAAAGACCTAATCTACGTTTGATAGGTGTACCTGAATGTGACGAAGAGAATCAATCCAAGCTGGAAAATATGCTTCAGGATATTATTCAGGAAAACTTTCCCAACCTAGCAAGGCAGGACAATATTCAACTCCAGGAAATACAGAGAACACCACAAAAATATTCCTCAAGAAGGCCAACCTCAAGGCACATAATTGCCAGATTCACCAGGGTTGAAATGAAAGAGCAAATACTGAGGGCAGCCAGAGAGAAAGGTCAGGTTACCCATAAAGGGAAGCCTATCAGACTCACAGCAGATCTCTCAGCAGAAACCCTACAAGCCAGAAGAGAGTGGGGGCCAATATTCAACATCCTTAAAGAAAAGAACTTTCAACCCAGAATTTTACATCCAGCCAAACTAAACTTCATAAGCGAAGGAAAAATAAAATCTTTTGTGAACAAGCAAGCACTCAGAGATTTCATCACCACCAGGCCTGCTTTACAAGAGCTTTTGAAAGAACCACTACAAATAGAAAGGAACAACCAGTATCAGCCTTTCTAAAAAATATCAAAAAATAAAGAACATCAACATAATTAAGAACTTGCATCAACTAATGGACAAAACAGCCAGCTAACATTAAATGACAGTATCAAACTCACATATATTGTTATTAATTCTAAATTTAAATCAACTAAATCCCCCAATCCAAAGACACAGACAGGCAAAAAAAGCCAAGACCCATTGGTATGTTACATCCAGATCCATCTCACATGCAAGGATACACAAAGACTCAAAACAAAGGGATGGAGAAAAATTTACCAATCAAATGGAGAACAAAAATAAATAAATAGAAAGCAGGAGTTGCAATTTTTGCTGATAAAATAGACTTTAAAGCAACAAAGATCAAAAGAAGCAAAGAAGGATATTACATAATGATAAAAGGATCAATGTAACAAGAAGAGCTAAAGATCCTAAATATATATGCACCCAATACAGAAATACCCAGATATATAAGACTTATAAAGAGACTTGGACTCCCACACAATAATAGTGGGAGACTTCAACATCAATATTAGACAGATCAACGAGACAGAAAGTTAACATCGATATCCAGGACTTGAACTCATATCTGGAACAAGTAGACTTAATTAACATTTATAGAACTCCCCACTTTAAATACACAAAATATACACTCTTATCAGTACCACATCACACCTATTTATAGGTTTAAATGAAATATTGGTTGGCTGCTTGTTAGTTATTTTCTTCCCTCTTTTTTTTTTTTTTTTTTTTTGAGACGGAGTTTAGCTCTTGTTACCCAGCCTGGAGTGCAATGGAGCGATCTCGGCTCACCGCAACTTCCGCCTCCTGGGTTCAGGCAATTCTCCTGCCTCAGCCTCCTGAGTAGCTGGGATTACAGGCACGCGCCACCATGCCCAGCTAATTTTTTGTATTTTTAGTAGAGACGGGGTTTCACCATGTTGACCAGGATGGTCTCGATCTCTTGACCTCGTGATCCACCCGCCCCGGCCTTCCAAAGTGCTGGGATTACAGGCGTGAGCCACCGCGCCCGGCCTTTTTTTAAATGTCTCTATTATTAAACACAATTACAGGCAATAAAGCAACACCCCTGTTCTCTCTCCCTCTTCCTCTTTCTTCCTCTCCTTCATTCTTTTCTTTTTCTTTTTTTTTTATTCTTTCTCTTTCTTTCTTCAAAAAAAAAAAAAAGAAATGTTTGTCGACTGAAGAGCCTCAAGTGGTTGTCTGATACATACATTTTATGTCATGTGTGTCACAGTGGGAAAAAAGATTGGGAAATACGGTTTTAAGTGGCTGTCTTCATTTCCTGTTGTTTATAACAGAATATCTAAAAATGGGTAATTTATAAAGAAACAAAATGTATTTCTTAGAGTTCTGGAAGCTGAGAACTTCAAAGTTGAGGGGCTGCTGGTGGGGACTCTCTCTTGAGTCCTGAGGCAGAAGTGCAGGGCATAGCATGGTGAGGGGCCTGAGGGTGTTAGCTTAGGTCTCTGTTCCTTTTCTTATAAATCCACAAGTCCTACTCCTGTGAAAACCCATTATTCTAGGAATGGACTGATCCACTCATGAGGGCAAAGCCCTCATGCCCCAATCATCACTTAACGACCCCATCTTTCAATACTGCCACATTGGGAAATACGTTTCTACATGAGATTTTTTGTTGTTGTTTTTTTTTTTTTTTCTTGGTTGGTTTCTTTTTGAAACAGGATCTCACTTGTCACTCTGGCTGGAGTTCAGTGGCACGATCATGGCTTACTACAACCTTGACCTCTGGGCTCAAGTGATCCTTCTACCTCAGCCTCCTGCATAGCTGAGACCATAGGTATGCACCACCATGCCCAGCTAATTTTCTTCTTCTTATTTATTTATTTATTTATTTATTTTTTATAAGGACAGGGTCTCCCTAAGTTGCCCAGCCTGGTCTTGAACTCCTGGGCTCAAGTAATCCTCCTGCCTCAGCCTCCCAAAGTGCTGGGATTACAGGAATCAGCCATGCCTGGCCAACCTGAGTTTTGAAGGAGGCAAACATTCACATCATAGCAATGATGAAACAAGCCTACTAAATTTCCATGTGATACTAGCTCAATGAACAAGCTCAAGCTCAACGGGAACATGGCAAACCCTTAACATTTAGCAAATGTTTGTTACCTAAGAGAAGTGCAGTTATTAGAGATAGAAGTGGAGTTGGGTAAACTCAGGCCAGTAAACCAGAGGAGAAATAAAGAAAGTGAATAATTAAAATGTGGGGTAAGATTGGCTGTGTGCAAACACAGATGAGATCTGTGGGTCCCAGAAGAGACAATACATTAATGAAAAAAGGGAAGGGAAGATGCTGAGGGTCTGCTCTGATGATAACCTTACTACCTTTAAGATTAACAGTGGGTCCTCAGTTCAAGCATGAGTGACATAATTAAAGTAAGTTGTTAGCACAATTCACCAGCATCTGTTTACTTGTTACTATGCTTCCTTATTGGGAGGCGTTCCAATTACAATGACTCAGTTACCTCCTCCACTCAGGGGGACTGTGTAAAACAAACTTTTAAGTTGAAATACTCAAACTATTTGACATTAATCCAAAAAGATGCATTGTTCATCCTTTCAACAGACATCGACTGCCTACCCTGCAAGGTGCTGCCATGGGTTACGGGAGGTACGATGCTGACGGGCAGGTGAGACGCCTACTCTCGTGAAGCTTGCAGCTTAATAAGGGCCAGAGTTGTGCGGCACAGTGCAGGATAGAGGGTAGATGACAGAGCCAGGCTGTCTGAAGCAAGAATGGGACCTTGGACATTTTAGAGCAGTGAATCGGTCCTTCAGGACCATGTGCTCAGTTTTTGCTTGAAATATAACCACAAAACACACTTCCCAAAGCAGGGAGACATGATGCTTTTTTTTCCCATTGTATGCACTTTCCCAGTAGGGCAGATAATTTGGCAGGGATTACAATCCATGATATTTGATACTGCTTTGACCCAGACTAGTTAACTCTAGGGGTTGGGGCCCCATATGGGAGGCAAAGTTGCTTAACTATTAAAAAATAAGATGAATGAGGAAAGGTTAAAATATGAGATTATGAAGCTGATTGAAGGAAGTTGCTGGTGATTTAAATAATGGCTTTCAGACTTCCAACATGTATGTGATTGATGTTGGGTTGAGGAGCTTTTTTCTGAATTTGAGACCAAACACAACTGAAGCAGCGAGGTCTGTAAACAAAAGGTAGAATTCTCATCATTATTAGTAATGTTACATTGATGCTCCAGTAACAAACATGCAAATAGAACAACGTGCAGTATAAAGGGATGGGAGTAAAAATAAGCCTAGAAGCTGAGATTCAAATTTCAATTTTAGTTTCAAAAATCTTTTTGTTTAGAGATAGGGTCTCATTCTGTTGCCCATGCTGGAGAGCAGTGGTGTGATCTTAGCTCACTGCAGTCTCAGCCTCCTTGGCTCAAGCAGTCCCCTACTGTAGCCTCCTGAGTAGCTGGGACTACAGACACATACCACCATGTTCTGCTAATGTTAAAATTTTTTGTAGAGTCAGAGTCTTACCATGTTGCCCAGGCAGGTCTTGAACTCCAGGACTCAAGCTATCCTCCAGCCTTGGCCTCCCAAGGTGCTGGGATTACAGGCATCAGCCACTATGCCTGACCTGACTTTTAGTTTTTTTTTTTTTTTTTTTGAGATGGAGTTTCACTCATGTTACCCAGGCTAGAGTGCAATGGCGCGATCTGGGCTCACCGCAACCTCTGCCTCCTGGGTTCAGGCAATTCTCCTGCCTCAGCCTCCTGAGTAGCTGGGATTACAGGCATGTGCCACCATGCCCAGCTAATGTTTTGTATTTTTAGTAGAGACGGGGTTTCACCATGTTGACCAGGATGGTCTCGATCTCTTGACCTCGTTATCCACCCGCCTCGGCCTCCCAAAGTGCTGGGATTACAGGCTTGAGCCACCGAGCCCGGCGACTTTTAGTTTTGAAAGTAGTCAGATATTTCCAAGTTTGGATGTCAGGAGAAAGAAAAAAGGTCCCCTGTGGCCACATGCAGAGGACGGGCTGTAGACACAGACTAACACTCTGTTTCCTGCTCTTTATTTGATTTTATTCCTTGAAAAAAACAGATATGAGAATTGCTGATGTGCCAGCCAGCCTGTGCTACCATACGTGGGCTTTGAAAAGATTCTGTATTTTCTGTCTGTGTGATGATATGTGCTGCTGTATAAAGCGAGGAAAACAGAACGTACAGGTGGTTTTCCAAGCCCCACAGCCCATCTTTATCACTGCCAGGTAAAGCACTGTCCCTTAAAAGTTAGATACAACCAATCATCAAGTGACATTTATTGAGACTATACTATGTGTCAGACCTGGGCAAGTTTCCTTCTTATGAGGTCGAGCTGGATGACTGCCTGGGATAAAGGATACAGCAAAAACATGGGGGTCCAACAGGAGGTCATGGGGGCCACATGCTCAACCACAGGACCTGATCTAAGCTTGTTCATAGACTTTCTGCATATTTTTCTCACAGAAAATAAGAGAATTTTGCATGTCATTTCTTTTCCATTCTTGTCAGATTCGTTTTTTTATGTGTCCTAATAACCATATATTTCATTTTCCACCCATCCAGACTCCTTGCTCCTCCCCGTTTGGTCTGGGGAGAACTCATAAATGTCATTGGTCACAAATCCACTCTCCACGCTCACCAGAGTCACAAACCCACTTTCTGATGGGTTCACAGCCATGTTGTCATAGTCACAAGACACGGCATCGGGAGTAGCTTCTCCCGAACACACTCGGAATGAAATATTCTTCAGGTCTGGCCGGGTCTCAGCCAAGTCAGCTTCGCTTTGTTTTCTTATGACATTGTAGACCTCTAGGTCCGGGCTATTCTCTTGGTGAGGAGAGGGCCAGATGGTGTGTTGCTTCTTTGTGCTAGGGTCTGGTTGCTCTCGTTTTCTAGGAAGAAAGAAAACAAGGGCTGAGTATTTCAGACCAGGCAATTGAGAATACCCCTGTGCTTCCTGTTCAGACTGGAGGCAGCAGCCCTGGGCAGACACCTGCTGCAGGCCTCACCTATGTAACTTACAGGCCAGGGCTTCAAGGTGGGAGGGAACCAACCAGGGAGACATTATATTCAAAGTGATTGTGTATCTGTCATTCACTGCTGCCCAAGAGTGGTCAGGGTTATTATCCTGGGGTCCCTCGAGTCCCTGGAGGGTCCAGGGATAGAACTGAATAGGAAAAAAATCACATTATAAAACAAACAAACAAACAAAAACTCAGCTGGGCACTGTGGCTCATGCCTATAATCCTAACACTTGGGGAGGCTGAGGCAGCTGGATCACTTGAGCACAGGCGTTCGAGACCAGCCTGGGCAACTTGGTAAAACCCCATCCCTACAAAAGATACAAAAATTAAACAGGCATGGTGGTGCACGCCTGTAGTCTCAGCTACTTGGGAGGCTGAGGTGGGAGGATAACCTGGCAGGTCAAGGCTGCAGTGAGCTGTGATGGTACCACCGCATTCCAGCCTGAGTGACAGAGTGAGACCCTGTCTCAAAAAAACAAAAACAAAAACAAAAACAAAAAACCAAACAACAAAAAACTCAACTCATCCATAGGTGAAATTTAGCATGTCCTTCCATTATGAATGTAAGCAATAAAACAGAACAGAATTAATAATATCTTTGACTTGATCACGACTAGAAATTATATTTTCATATCACAGTTATAGATGTCCTGAAATGTTTTACCCTTATCTCTATTTCACAATTATAATAATTATACCCAGCACTAAATAAAGACATGTCAATAAAAGAGTACATGCATTACTAATCACTATCCATTTTTGGAAATATTTTGCTAAACTATATAACAGTATGATTGCTCTCTTTGAAACCCAATGTATTGTATTTTATGCTTTTAAAATATTGTTCTGGGCCAGGTGCGGTGGCTCTTGCCTGTAATCTTAGCACTTAGTGGGGCTGAGGTGGGCAGATCACCTGAGGTCAGGCCCACATGGTGAAACCCATCTCTACTAAAAATACAAAATTAGCCAGGCGTGGTGGCATGTGCCTGTAATCCCAGCTACTTGAGAAGCTGAGGCACTAGTATCATTTGAACCCAGGAGGTGGAGGTTGCAGTGAGCAGAGATTGTGCCACTGCACTCCAGGCTGGGTAACGGGGCAATACTCTGTCTCAAAAAAAAAAAAAAATATATATATATATATATAATAGTAAATAAAATATTGTTCTGGAGGGAGTCCCTAGGCTTCACCAGTCTGCTGCAGGGGTCTGGGCCCAAAAACCCTTGGGATAGACAGGCACCCAAGCTTTAGAGTCACAATTCCCAAATCCTGGTGAAGTGCAGAATAGATGGTCAGGAAGGGAAATCAAGAACCAAATGCAGAGGAAGCAGTTGGAAAATATACTTGTAATTTTTTGAACTAAATTCTACTTTTAGATTCAAAGGAAATAACTAATAAAATAATCCTAATAATAGCTATCATTTTTAAGTGCTTAGCATATGCCTATTCTGCAAGCTTTAACTGCCTTAATCCTTACAATAATCCTATATGGAAGTTACAGTTAACTGAAATAGATTTTACTTTGGAATCTTACTAATTCATCTCAAATTGGTCTTTAAAAGGAGTCAAATCTTAAATTGGGCCTTAGTTTTCGAGTTGTAAAATGGGAATACTAGACATCTTTGCCATGATGATGGAGAATAAAAAGGTAACTAAGAAGAGCTTTCCGTACCAAAAAAAAAAAAAAAAAATGTGGCACATGATCCTGACCATATACAGATATTATTGATGCCACCTAATGTAGCTATTTTATAGCACTCTATACTTGTGTACTGAATTAAAAGAAAAGTCAATTAAAAGGAATTTGGCTCTTTCATTTTGAATTAAGTGGTTTAGTTTCAGATGTTTAGCAGAATGCTTTGCAACAGTCATTTTTCATGTGGCTCACTATTCATTTCTTCACTCAGTCCACAAACATTTTCAGAGCAAGGGCATACATTCATGAGAGCACTTTTGCTGGGTGACATGTGGGTGCACAGGAGGTGAATAATGCAATTTCATCCTTCAAGAAAGTTGTTTTAAAATCTTCCATATACACACAGTAAAGCATGTAGGATCGCTCTCTTAATCACAACTAAGCACAAATGCCCAGTACTTCTGAATGCCCTGGTTTGTTAGAGAATCTACTCTCAGATCTGCAGTGGTGACACTCTTGGTGCTACCATGGCTTTTAATGAAGTAAACAGGGCAATATCCACATCTCAAAGAGGGCAGAAGATGCAAAGATTTACACAGTGAAAGTTTTACTTGCCTTCTTCTACAGATCCAAACCCAACACACAACTGTGGTGACCACAAGGAGGAGGAGAAGGGGAATGCCGGGGATTAGGATAGAGGCGAGATTCCAGGCAGCTTCTGAAAAGAAGGAAAGCACATGATCAGCACTGGTTGTTTTTTTGTTTTGTTTTTCTGTGCTTCAAAACAGGCTTAAAAAAACATAATAATCAAAAACCACTTGTACCCCCAAATCTATTGAAATTAAAAACAAAACAAAACAAAACAAAAAAGCCTAATCAAGAGAGTATTCCAAAGAGTTTGTTCCTAGGTGATTGAGACACATCTAGCCAATTAGCAGATTTGATTTCAACGAATGAGAATTTTCTACTCATCCTATTACCCTAAGTAATAATGAAAATCAGTTTAAATTTGTGGGTCTCTTGCAAATATCAGAAGCATATTTTTGTTAATTAAGCCTCTCTCTTTTTTTTTTTTTTTTCAAAGAAAAAGGAGTCCCTCTTTTTTTGTCCTCCTTTAGTAAAGCAGGGGCCGTTGAGGCAGTGTTGATGAATATTAATCATGGATATTATGCATCACAGGTTGGGTCTTTCTGCTCTTATTTCTCTACATTTTCTCTCTCGGCCCTCACTCCACCTCACCCCGCCTGACCTCTGAGTAGCTCCCAAGTCTCTGTCTTCATGCAAAATTTTCACCTCCTGTCTGGTCACTCCAGTCATCTTAGGATAGTTCTATTTGCATATTTCATTGATGAAACCTAGCACTGAGTACAGCTTTTGCAAAGTCACACATGCCTTGTCTATTCTATTAGGTAGCTGAGGGAAAGAACAAAGTAGGGAATTAAACCATGGGTAATTTGTGATCAAGGGAGTCTCATTATTCATCTTTCCCAGGAGAGTTTTGTACAGACCTCTACTTTCTTTAAATGTTTTTTTGGCATCTTCTTCCTGTGTTTCTCCTAGAAGTACAAGTGTTGTCAGCTCTGTTGCCTCACCTGGAGAGAGACACATGGACTTGTGAACTTGGAGAAAGGCATCCTAATTCAAGTATGCTTTGAGGTCCTACCATGTTCAAATTGGGATGCAAAAAAGCAGTAGCGATTTGACCAGCACCATCGATAAACATAGACAAGTAAAGGGTTGAATTTGTTGTCCTAGAGGTTTAATTTGTCTTTGTCTTTTTGGTGAGACATTTGCTGTCAAGAATCTAGTACCAAAACAATCAACAGGCAGCTGACATCAAGGTACATAAAATACCAAAGTGTCAAGGGGAAGGGCCCATGACTCACTTCTAGGACGTGAATGATCAGTTTGGCTGATTTTTTTTTTGTCTCATTACATTATTCATATTGTCAATAATGACAAGTAACACCCCAAACAGAAATTGTAACTGTTGCCGAAACGGAATTTGTAACTGATGCTGAAACAGAATTTGTAACTGTTGCTGAAACGGAATTTGTAACTGTTGCTGAAATGGAACTTGTAACTGTTGCTTTTCAGCTGTGAGGGAAACAGACACCACTAGAAAGTGAGATGACTAAATTAGCTGTCAAGGCTGGGTGTGGGTATACCTGTCCAACTGCCTGGGTTAATACCAGCAGTTTTTCTGTTGAATAATCTGGTCCAAAGGACATATGGCTTTAAACCTGTGAAGAGGGGCTATTAAACAGCCCCAGTTAACTCAAATCTCAAATGACAGGCTTACCTTCAGGCTCTGTAGAAGGAACTATTGGTTTCTCTGCAGAAGAAAGAAACAAAAACAAAATAATAAGTAATTTTTCAGGGCATCTGAATGAAATCAGCCACATCATGGTCTCCATTTATTTGCTGATTCAGTCCTCCAATAAACTTTATTGGTTGTTATCAGATATCAGGAACTAACTAGGCTAGTAAATCAAAAGAATTGCTTTTGCGCAAAGACTAACCTTCCCCAGCTTTATTTCAGTGCCTTTTTTATTTTTCAAAAAGTATTTAGAAACCTTTAAATATGATAATTTCCAAATATACAAAAAAGCAGAGACTGGTGTAATATACCCTGTGTACTCAGCTTCAACTCCTATGGATATATAGCTAATCTAATTTCAACAACAGCCTACTCAAGTTCTCCCCTTGCACTCCTGGCCTGGATTATTTTAAAACAGTCTAAGATATTTTATCAGTTGATAGTAGGAATATTTTAGAGGGCAACAAACGCTGATCTCCAAGTAGTGGAAGTGGTTTAGGGGCTCAGTAGATCAGTGGCCAGCACCAAGGAAGAGGCTGGTGATCTAGAGCTCTGAGTTACTGTAAATCAGTATTTCAAAGTGTCTTGAGAATATCAGATTTAACAGACAACTGACATAAAATGGTTTTGCTTTTGACTGGGAGTATGTTCACCTGTTGTATTGGCAATGAGCCTCTTATGCCAGTCAGATGCTGTGGTGTTCCCAGGGACAGGGTCTTTGATGGAAAGACCTTAAAAATCACAATCCTAAGGCCAGGATGTCAAGCCCATTCTGAAGTTTCACTCAGAAAGGACACAAACTTTTAGTCATCTTCCCATAAGTGTTTGTGTGTGTGTATGTATAGGTGATGTAAACCCACTTATTTTAAAAAACCCACTTATACAACATATAAGAGAAACTGTTCTAAGTTTTTTTTTTTTTTTTTTTTTTTTGAGATGGAGTCTTACTCAGTTGCCCAGGCTGGAGTGCAGTGGTACAATTTTGGCTCACTGCAACCACCATTTGCCAGGTTCGAGCAATTCTCCTGCCTCAGCCTCCGAAGTAGCTGGAATTACAGGCATGTGCCACAACACCTGGCTAACTTTGCATTTTTTAAAAGTAGAGATGGGGTTTCACCATGTTGGTCAGGCTGGTCTCAAACTCCTGACCTCAAGTGACCCACCTGCCTCAGCTTTCCAAAGTGCTGGGATTACAGGCATGTGCCACTGTTCCTGGTCTCTTCTAAGTGTTTTACAAAAATGAACTCAATTAATCCAAATAACAGCCTTGTGAGGTGGCCTTATTATAATTCTGCTTTTGTACATGAAGAAACCAAGATTCAGGGAGATTAAATAACTTGTCTAAATCTCACAGCTAATAAGTAGCTGTAAAGGGATTTCAACCAAATAAATTCAAATTAAAATTAAAATAGTAAGGCGACATAACTGTGCTAGGTAGCAGAGATAAAACAGCAAATGAGAAAAAAATCTCAGCCCTCTAAGGAGCTTATATTCCACAGGATGGCAATAAAATCTGGAAATACAGGAGAATATTAATGAACATTGATTTTGTAACATTACACTGGCATATGTAATATGATCTATTCAATACATGATCTTTTCATACTGTTGGCCCTCCATACTTCACAGTGCAAAATTAAACACAGCACATCAATGCAGCATTCCCATCAATCCCTGCATGTGCATCTGTGTTGACTCATGATTTGTTTCTGATTTTCGCTGAAGATGCCTGTGCCTTTAGCATACCCCAGAAGTAAGCAAGTGTTCAGATATTGCTAGCATGTCACCTATTCTACATGATTATATTCTCAAATCTAGTTTTATATATTATCATTCACCCAGTTTCTTGCCACTCTGGCATAACGGGATGATGTGCCCTCCTGCTGGAACCACAGAAGTGAGCTTCCCTAAAACACCAAGTGGTTAAACTGGTTAAGTTTCCAGACTTCATGCCAATCATGTAGTGGAGGGGATAGCCTTGTAAATAGGCAGTTAAAGTACTGTGCGTGTGAGGCGCTATGATCCTTATAGGAGGGACACCAAATCTAGCTTTGAGGGGCCGTGGAAGGCTTTCCAAAGGAAGTTGCTTTTTTAATGTCTTATTTTGAAATATTTTCAGATTTATGTAAATTTTCAAGAATAGCACAAAGAATTATCCCATATCCTTCACCTTATCATTTTATCACATTTGATTTACTTAATTATTCTCCCTCTCTCTTCTCTTTCTGTCTGCCTCTCTTTGTGTCACATACACTTGTGTTTATGTGTGTGTGTGCATACATGCACACACACATGCACACACACACACATACACAAACACATGTATAACTTTGTTCCTGCAAACAAGTTGCCAACATGGTGCCCCTTTACTACTAAAGACTTTCATCCATATTTACAAAGGGAGAGGGGCCTTAACATATATAACCGCAGTATAATGATCAAAACCAAGAAATCAACATTGATATAATACTATTTTCTAATCTACTGACCTTATTCAGATTCTACCAATTTTCCTGATAATGCCATTTATATAAAATCATCACATCATGGACCAGGATCAAACCCAGGATCACCGGTTGCACTTAGGAGTTGTTAGGAGAGAAGGTGTTGTCTGATTTGAAGCCCAAAGGTGAGAATGAATTGGCTGGGAAAGGGGTGTTTTAAGCACAGGAAACAGCATTTAAGAGCTATTGGGGGATTCCATTTGGTACAAAGGTGTTGGAAAAGTATGGGGAAGGAGTTAGAGTGTGAGAATTGAACTGGACAGGTTGGCAAGGGTCTGGTCACACTGATCCTCTTTCGGCATGCTAAAGTGTGTGAACTGTTCTGGGCATGGGTGGCCACATACAGGCAGTGTGTTAGTTTTTCTCCATGTGCCCACCTCCCTCTGTTGGATCCATTCTTTGTCCTTCTCTGTGCCTTGGGAGGTTGAGCTCTATAAACTGTTTCAATGGGCATCCTTGTTCCCTTGTCCTTTGGTCTCTAATTGGACTTAGGCAATGAGAGACAAAGGCAGAAGATCAGAGGAAAGGAGGAAAGAGAGGTCTCAGTATTTATTCCCCACGCTGCCATCCCATGTCAGCATGGTTTGACAGTAGCTGCATTTTGTGGTAATGGCTCCTGTTAGGTGGGTCCTCCTTCATGACCCCAAGATTTTCCTGGGTTCTGCTAAAACCATTCCCTCCTTTTACTCCTTTAGGCATGGGAGAAACAGTTTCCCACTGTAGCTAGTCCCTGGATATTTTACCATCTCTGTTCTTCGCCTACACCTCAGCAAATGTCCTTTTTATTACACTCTCTTCATTAAACCCTTTGTGTGTGCCATCTTTTTCCTGCCAGCACTCAGTGTAACTAATACAGGCAAAGCAAAAGTAATGAAGAATATGATTTTTTTTAAAGTGCCAAGTCCAAAAATAAAAGGATATTAAAGCAAATTTCAAAATCTCACATTTCAAAAACTGTTAAAGGAAGTGCAAAATTTTAAACCATGGAGCTATTAATAATAGAATATAATTAACAAAAGTGATGGAAAGCCAGTTTGTAATGAGTGCTTTGCTTTCACCGGTTTATAAGGGTGACTTGCTAAGTCAGCCTAGGTCTTTGCAATCTCCCTGCCTGAGACAATGCTGTATGGTGGGGAGGGCCAGGTCACTGGAGAGAATAATTCATCCGAGAGGATAAAAAGAGAGAAAAACATCTTTTGGCAGCAAAAACTGCCACCAAACCACAGCCCAATTCAAACAATTTTAAAATGACAGGATTACTTAGCCCCAAACTAGATATAACTAACAAGTCACTCTACTCCTATCAAGAAAGAATGAAGAACTGGGGTTAAGCTGTTGGCATCAGGGAGGTGAGGAACTTCAGGAGCAGATTAAGAATCAGTTCAAGTTCAAATATGTCAGTTATAACGGAGAAGTCTCGGAAACCCCAGTATGGTGAAACTACAGGCTTGTAGCCAGTTTAAAACCCGAACAGATCTGAAAGCAAATGTAAGTTGAATTTGCAAGGCGTTATATACAGGGTGGTCTGGGAATTTAAATCTGCTCATCAAAGTACCTACTATCTTTGCCCAGTGAAATTTCAATTGGCATACTTTATCATTTACCTATGTATCCTGCTTCCTTAAAGCCCCAGAAAATAATCTCACAGGGCTGTTAGAAGACTTGTAGGAGCAATGGCTAGCTTATTCTAAACCCCTACAGCCAACCTCACATGTGGAAAGAGTAATCATTTGTGGTGTCCACTTAGAGGGTTTTTTTATTTCTTGATGTTCTTGTAAGACTTGCTTTATTCCACATAAATTAGACCTTTTCTTTTTCTCATCCATTCTCTTAACATCTGATAACTTTTCCTTTGCTGGGATTACTCCTCAGTGAGGAATTGTCATTACATTGCCCTTTACAAGAACTCCTAAGGTTTTATGTTGCTGGCATTTGCAATAAGCTTTCTCAGAGACCACATGACAAATTCTTGGTATTAGCAGCTGCTCATGAAATGAGAGAGGTTGAGAATTCAGCTGCATAGCTTGGGAGAGGATGTGTTACCATCAGAATATTTGCAAATGAAATTGTTCTTCATGTTGCATCGGTCATCATTCCACTGGAACATGTAGGGGCCTCCGATACCGGCGGGTGCTGATGGCTGATGGTACATGACCACGCAGACCTCGCTGCCGCAAGACGGCTCATCCACATACCAGTTCCTGTAGGAAAGGGATCAGCAGTGGAGGCAATTGGAGGAGGGTCTCCTAAGACTTCAAAGCCTTTATTTTCCCATCAAGTCCCACTGAGCCGTAAACATAAGATTCTGCCTTAGAACATGATACAGAGAGAGGGAGGAATTGAAGTACTGCCAATAAGTAGAACCACACGCATTCTCATATGGACATCACAATCAATCAGCTGACATTTGCCACAACCTCTTTGCAGGGAGGAACATGTCACTATATATGTCTGCAAAGTAATTATGAGAAAAAGCAGCTAGCAGGGGTAGGCTGGATGATCCTGTTTCTTTCTTGCTTTTTGCTAATTGGGTTTGTTTGTCCTTTTTTTTTAGATCTCAGATGCACTAAGAAGAGACATGACTTACCTCATCCAGAGCTTGCCCTGCTCTAATCTCTCCTTGCCTTTCAATAGCCACCAAACTCAGCCTTGGGAAGTAGATAAGAAATTCAAGCACATGAGCAAGACATTCCAAAACATAGAGGCTGTCAAAACAGGTGAAGGGGTGGGGACAAAGCAAAAGGACCATGTGGTCTTTTTCAGTTTTTAAGCCGTTTCCACTTGGTCAGGCTGATGAGCCCCTCAGCCTCCACCTCCAGATGTCTTGTCTTTGTCTCCATAGCCCCCCAGATGGGTGCATTAGCAACCTTACACTACTATCCAGTGGCACTTGAAATTAAATGGTGCTGCCACCCAGTTGGATGTGTGGGTGCCAGGTTAAAGTCTTGGATCCTATGGAGAGTTTACATCTGTGAGTATTCACCCCATGTGTTGACTCAGGGCTGGGCTTTGTAGTCTGCCTGGTTAGTCACTTGAGCTGTTTTCTTTCTGGGGCTCAGATCTTTCCCTGGTGCTCAGAGCAGGCAATGCTGCTTTGCCTAGCTCTTGTCAGAGCCCTCCGCAAGAAAGAGACAGCTAAGAGGCAGTTTTCCCTGTCGCACCACAGTAAGACTCTGCTTGAGGCCTTTGTTACTGTCTATAGAAGGAAGATCCTTTGCTGCAGCCACTGGATTGAATTTCCTGGAAAATGGCTTGGCTTACAATAAACACTCCTTAAACACCATGCCTGGACAGCTGGGGCCACCTCATTAGTTATCTCCAGTCCAGATTTCAGCCCTGTTGGGCCTCCTACCCTGACTTGCCTTGTTCTCCTCCCCACTGGCCTTATGGCTTTACATTAGTTTGTCTTATAGGTTGAATATTATGTTTGGCATATAATTTCTGTACTTGAGCCAATTTTCAGACCCAGAACTCACTGATAGAGGTGCCAGGTTTCCAGTAAGAAGGACCCTGCAACACATGGCAGGTGCACATGGTAATAATTTCCCATTTTTCCCCTAAAGGGACCCATGGCTATTTACTCAAGTAACCATACACTGGGGAAGAGGGAATATCCAAATATTACTAGAGCTGTTGGACACAGGGTGCAAGTTGACATTAATACTCAGACCTACAATGTCCTCAAAGCTACCCATTAGAGTGGGAGCATACTGGGGAAAGGTATTAAATAGAGATCTGGCCCAGGACCAGCTCATAGTGGCACCCAGCCAGTCGTCATTCCCAGGTCCCCAAATGTATGAATTGAATAGACATATTTGATAGTAGTTGGTACAGTTCGGCATTGGTTACTTGGCCTATGATGGGCAGGTTGAGCTGCGTCATCTCTTGGTCTACTTAACTGTGGGGCAAGAGCTATCACAGAGGAGAATGTCAAGTAGGGAAGGCTTTGAATCTGCATTCCTCCCCACCCCTGCCATGACAATAAATCAACAACAATATCTTATCCAGGGAAAGACGGCAGGAAGTAGTGTCATCCTTAAAGACCCAGAGAATGCAACAGTGGTGTTTCCTGTTATGTTACTAGTTAATTCACTAGTCTCACTCCTGAAAATACCAGGAAGATCCTGAAGGTGATAATAGAGTAGCACAAACTCAACCAAGTGGAAACCCAATTGCAGCTGCCCGTGCCGTATATGGTGTCTTTGCTAGAGCAGGTTAACATGCCCTTGGGTACCTAGTACACAGATCTGGTGAACACATTCGTTTCCTTCTGTATCAGAAAGATAATCTGAAACTGTTGGAATGGACCATAGTATATACTATGATCCTGACTAAAGGCTATATTATTTTTTCCCCATCCTCTGTTATAATATGGTGTAAAGAGATCTGGATTTCCTAGACATCTTGCAGAAAATCATGCTGGCCTACCGTATTGCTGACATCATGCTAATTGGAACAGATGAGTGAGAGTGGTTAGTACATTGGATGTTTTGATAAGACTTATGTACTCCAGAGGATTGGAGATAAATCTTATGAAGATTCAGGAGCCTACTACGTCAATAAAATGTGTGGGTGTCTAGTGATCTAGGGAATACCAGAACATCCCTTTCAAATTAAAGAACAAACTGTTACACCTTGCAGTAATTTGAAGCCTGAAGCACAGCACTTCGTAGGTCTCTTTGGGCTCCAGGGGCAGCATATTTCACAGCTTGGAATACTGCTCTGGCCCATAAATCAGGTGACATGAAAGATGGCCATTTTTGAGTAGGATTCATAGCAGAAAAGAACTCTGAATTGGGTGTAGGCTGTGTGCAAGCAGATTTGCCACTTGGGCCATATGATGCAGCAGATCCTTTTATTAGAGATGTCAGTGGTGGGAAAAATACTGCCACACTGAGTTTGCTACAAGCCTCAATGAGAGAATAATAATGCAGATGCTTAGGATTTTGAAGCAAGGCCATGCCATCTGTAGCTGAAAATTAGTCACCTTTTGAGAAACAGTTCCTGACAAATAATGCCATATAGAGTTTGCAACAAGTCTCAATGAGAGAATCACAATGCAGACCCCTAGGAGTCTGAAGCAAGGCCATACCATCTGTAGCTGAAAATTAGTCACCTTTTGAGAAACAATTCCTGGCTGGCTACTAGGCAAGGAGCACCAGAGACCACGAAGCACAATCTGCCCATCATGAGCGAGGTACTGTCAGACACACCTAATTAGAGATTGGGCAAGCCCGGAATCTATCTGGGAGAGGTACATCCAAGACCAAAGAGTGCTGTAGGAGCGGGTAAAGCAGACTTCCATGACATCTGCGACTGTTGGACCAGAGCCTCTTCCTTAGCTCACACCTGTGATTGCGTGGAGGAATCCCTTTTGACTAGCTGATACAGGCAGCCTGAGCCTGGTTCAAGGATAGGTCAGCTAAGTATGAGAGTACACAGTGAAATGGAAAGCAGCTGCACTGCAGTCCCACTGAGGTGGCCTTGAAAGCAGTAAGGGAACATCCTCCCAGGTACATCTAGTTAATTACTTTGTAAGGAAAGGGAAACTATTGGAGATTAGAATATATAAAAACTCAGGGATAAGGCAAACGGCATGCCCAGCTGATCAAGAGTCTACATGGAAATAGACCAGAAGGTTGGGGACTAGGAAGTTTTGGATAGAGGGATGTGAATATACATAGAGAAGTGAACATAAAATATGCAACTCTTTCCATTAGATGTTAAAGACCACCAGGGAATATCTACTGTAGAAGAGGCACTGAACAACCAGGGAGACAAAATAACTCGGCTAGGTAATGCCAGCCTGCCTGTCGTCAGCCACCCCAGTGCTAGTACAATAGATACTAACAGGTAGCGGCAGAGATGAAAGCTATGCATGGGCTCAACAGATGGGCCCTCACTCACTAGGGCTAATCTAGTTATTGCTACTGCTGAATGTTCAACTTCCAGCAACATAAACCAATGCTAAGTCTCTGACACAGCACCAACGCTTGAGGACACCAATGTGGCACTTGGTGGCAAGTTGACTACACTGGACTTCTGAAAGGGGCAATCATTCAAGTGCCCTTTATACAGTCCTCTGTTCCCAAGAATAAGAATACATGGGCCTGGGAGCCAAGGGGTGGAAGCAGGAGCAGCCTCGCTTTAGCATCACTGGCAGTGACTCGCTTAGGACATTGTGCTTCTTGTCTCTGCAACATTGGCTTCTGGAAGTTTAGAGGTCTTGGTTCCCAGAGGGGAATACTTCTGCCAGAAGATACAAGAATCTTAGTAAATTATGAGTTATCATTGCCACTTGGACACTCTGGGATCCTTGTGTCCAGGGACTACCAGGCAAAAAGTGATGCCATTGTTCTGGCAAGAGGTAAGTGACCTTAACCATCAGGAGGTGATAGATAACCAAATAGATAACCGAATAGATAATACATGGACATATTATGGACAAGGAATTATCTATTCAGATACCTCTTGAAATTCACTTGCCCAATTTTGCCGGTCAATGGAAAAGTGCATCAACGCTAGCATGATAAGGGCAAGGTGACTAGAGCCTCAGATTCTTCAGATACGAGGATGTGGATTATGCCACAAGGTCAACCGTTGAGACCAGCAGAGGGTGAGGGAATATGGACTGGCTAGTAGAGTAGGGAGGTCGGTAAGTACCATTTGTGGCCCTGGGACCAGTTGCAGTGATGGCAAGTGTAGTTCATCCTACTAACCCTCCTTTCTAAAGTTTCTCCCAGGAAGGGAGGCTCATGAGAATCCTGGAGGAGCTACTCCTAGAACTTACATGAAGATGTGCACCTGCTCAGCATAATGGGTGCACTAAGGTACATGCTGATGTGCTGCCTTAAATATAATAGGTAAATATATATATATATATTTAATTTTAAAAATTTTGAGGGGTACATAGTAGCTAAGTACTAAAAAATATATTTTAAAATCATCATTCTTTTGATGAGTTTAGACTGTTCCCCATATGATTGTTTACCATTAGATTTTCTATTTTATAAACTGTCTGCTCAGGTCTTTTGTCTCTTTATGTTTTGGGGTCTTAGTATTGTATTGACACATAAACCCTTTATCTTAAAAAGATATTAACTCTTTGTTGGATTTGTTACACACATTCTCCCAGTCTCATGCCTGTCTCTTAATTTTGATATTTTTTAGATGTTTGTCTATGTCACTGCATTTCTTAGGGAGAGAAGAGGGCAATGTCATGCTGCCAGGGTGGGGTATGAGTGAGTCTTGATGCTGTGCATTTAGCAGGTCCCTACACACTGCAGCCTTTCTGAGGTCCCACTCTTGGCCAATCCACAGAGATACATCTTGGCTCTGATTTCTTGCCCATTGTTACAATTCCCTGTGGACTGGAGTCCTACCCTGAGTCATAGCCCCATGGATCTTCAGTCTCTCAATGAGGTTCTGGTCCAAAAGGCCAGATAGCCACTGGCTTCAAGCATTGTATGCTGTTGAAACATGGCTGCTGGGCTGTGCTCACCTGAACAGAGCTCCTTGGACACCAGTTGGGCACAAATCAAGGCTGAGTTCACCACCTGCACTGACTGCTTTGGTCAGCAGTTATTCTGCTGCTACTTCCCCTTCAGAGGCCTGCCTGGTTGGTCTTCTATTCCTCACTGATCTGGCACTGTGGATCCAGCCTGCCTCTTTTTTACGTTATGTCAAGTGAGTCAGCCGCTACGGGTTCCACACGCTTACCTAAATTGTGATGTGCTGCCATCAGTCCAAGCATAAAGGTCCTGGCAGGCTGTGCTATTGCTTTGTTTCTCCTCACGCCTCCTGAGCCCAATCCAGAAGTCACCATCAGATGCCATGAGGTTTTCAATGAACTTTTCTATCAGTTTCTGTTCATCCTCAGACTCAATGCTGACTAGCTGGCCTCCATCCCTCCTGCAGGCTTCTTTGGCTTCCTCAAAGTTCAGTCTTCGAGAAGTATCATGGAAGTAAATGACTTTATAACAAGGCCTCTGTGTCCCTCCCCGGCAGACTTGCTGCCCTAGAGAAAAAAGAAGCCAACCTATTTCAGTGTCTCAAAAAGTGTACCGGGGCAAGGATGCATGGAGGCATCTGAAGGAAGGATCCCTGGGTAGGAATTTTGTTTACTCATCAGTGGACTGTTATCATGTCAGTTAGGGTTCTCAGTGCAAATTAATACTCCTTCCAGCACAGAGACGTAGTGATTTAAACTCTGATGTCTTTATTGTGTAGGGACATCATGTTTTGTTTGTTCCATTACAGAATCTTAAAAAGAGGATGTTTTATTTTGACTATCCTTTAGAAGAGAAGTAGATGAAGATTTACGGTTTCACAGAAAGGCATGCAAATAACACTTTTATTACGGAGTCTCAGGGGATAATGTGGCTTAAAGTGGGGTGTCTCTGGTGGTTCTTTAAGGTAAGAGAGGCTTTCTGAAGTCAGGAATGGGCTCCTCCACTCTGGAACCCTCTGCCTGTGCAGCAGAACTGAGAGTGCCCAGCCTCTGGTGTAAGCAGAAGCTAACAGCATCAGATCCAAGGGGTTTTCTGCCACTAACAGTCAGCCCCCTGATCTGAAGACAACAGTTAAGGTTTACTATGTGCCACGAACTCTTACTATGTGCCACGAACTATGGTAAGGGCTTAACATTTACTTCCATACTTTATCTCATGTAACCCCTCATCATAGTCCCCTGATGTACATACTGTTTATGGCTCATTTTACAAATGACAAAACTGGGGCTCAGAGAAGTTAAGTAATTTGGCCAAGATCACACAGTGATCAGCAGCATCACCGGTGTTAAGCCCAGATCTAATTACAAAACCATGCTAGGCCAGTGAACTATAATGCTGGCTCCCCACTGCAGCCCAGGGTCACGTTTTACTGGGAGACGATGTAATATGTCTTATCAGACTGTCCCCTGACGGGCTGAAGATCATCTCAGACAAACAAATGAGATTTTACTGAGGAGCCAATAACAAATCGCTCACAGTACACACTGCTCTGGCTTGTGTCTGTGTGACTGAAGCCTTGCTGCAACAGAAACATTAGCCTCATCGCTCCTTTTATTCAATCACCATTTATGAGTGTACACTCTGTGCCTGGCACCGTGCAGAGTGCTGGGAATACAGGAGCAAAAGCTACTTCCTAGTCCACAGGAAGACACAGCATATGTTCCTGGATTCAAAAAAGTGAAAACCACATATCAACACGGGGAGTAGTCCCCTGCAATGAGAAAGCCAAATTGTGGGCTGTGGGTGTGAAATGCTGCCACAGTGCCAGGGGTAAATGATTTTGGTTTGGGAACCTCCTCCCAGAATTTCTGGAATGTTCCCATTTTCCCAACTTGTTTTGCAGCTGCGCAGGGAGCCAGAGAGCATTCATTATTCCCAACACTGGCCAGCATACAGGGCAAGAGGCCACAGAGCGACAACTACGTTGTTAGTGGTAAAGGGGAAAGAGCACATACAGGTTACCCAGAAAGCTCCAGTGAGTCTTCATTTTCTTTCTTCTCTCGTCACTTTCATAAAGAAATTCTCAATGAGCAACAAGTTATAAGAGTTCCACATCTCCCTTTTCCTTTCATTCTTTGGCTATTGCTGCTAATAGAGAAACTCTAACTAGACTGGCCCAGCACCACATTAGGAGGGTTTAAAAGCCAGACCTGCTTATAACAAGGCGTTCAGAGAGGCTGAGGCGGGGATGCCCATCCCGTCCCCCACTCCGGGGAAGGGGGCTGGGCCAGGCACTCTGGCGATTCCTCAAAGCTGGCTCCAAATTGGGTTGCAGAAGAAAGGCAAATGAGCCCCCAGAAACACCAGCACAACAAGCCGGAATGGAACTTCCTGACAATCCCCACTTTCCACATTGGGTTGTCAAGGGAAACAGAACACCTTAAGCGAGCTTCCTGTATGGTTCAGGCTGGCCACACATCCCAAGTCAGCGGGTGAGTGCCAGAGACAGTCAGAGCTGGAAGGAGGCCCGCGGGACTGTCTGGTTCCCCTGCCTTCAGGAAGTGTCTTTCTCTTCTCGTTTGCAGGAAGAGGAAGTGTTGAAGGGCCTTCTGTTCCCCGCGACCATGAACTGAGCCCACGCAGCCCTAACCCAAGCAGCTCAATTCAGTTTCCTACCTCTTTTGCCGCCCCGCGCCCCTCCCCTATCCTGAAACCAACTTTACATTCTTTAAATTGGGAGGAGGTTCCCTGTCTTTTCTGTCCCATTTGGTCAACCTGTTGGCACCCAGAAAGGGGACCCAAGGAAAGGGCACGGATGTTCTCCCCTCGACTTGCAGAACAACTGAAAGAGGCCAGAGGCCAGAGCACTGTACCTCCTCTGAGGTCCAAATCCGAGGCTGCAGTGACACAACAGGAGGAAGGAAGCAGAGAGTCATTCCCCGGAGTCAGGCGAGTCTCGTCCCACCCTAACTGGAGTTCTTTCCCGATCTCCAAGCGCTCTCATTCCAGGCGCTGGACCCGGCAATCCTCCCCACTAGCAGACACGAGGAGTACCGGACCCAGCATCCCTACCCCGCCGTCTCTGCCGCAGCCTCCCCCAGCCCGAGGTAGGCAGCGGTCAGCTGGCAAGCCTCCCCTGCAGGGATGGTCCCAGGGACTACCTCGATGCATGTAAAGGAGCGGGCCGAAGAGGCACCCACTGAGGCAGGTTTGCCCACTGCCCCACCTCTCCTACATCCTCCAACCTAACCCCGTAACTCTGGGCCGGGAACTGGCTTCGAGCGTTCCAGGACTCGCAGGGAACTGGGCGGCCCCGGGAACTGGCGCGGGTCTCCCACGCCGTGCGACTGCTCCCTGGAAGCCGGAGACTCCGGAGGGCTGCGTCTGGGACTGGGGCATGGGACGTCTGCCTAGTTGCAAGCGTGGCGGCCCAGAAGAGGGTCAGCAACAACTGGGGCGCAGTGAGTGCATTGGCCGAGCCTGCCCAGGCACCAGCCCCCGCCCCGCCCCCGCCCCGGCACCTACCCCTTCCCTAGCGCGCGCACTCACCGCTCAGCAGGCGACCTGTCGCGGCCCGCAGCCCCACCAGCAGCACGGCCAGCACCAAGGCCCGCAGCGCCGTTCCCGGCCGCATGGCCCGACTCGGGTGCGCCCTCCGACACCCCGGCGCTACGGCGTTGGAGCGGGCTGGCTGGCGGCGGCGTGCGCGACCACTGTAACCGCGGCAGCAGCATCACCCGAGGACCCACGGACCGCACGGGAGGAAGGGGGAGCGCTCGGAGTCAGTCGGTCGCCCCTCCGCCCCGTGGGACGTCACTGCGGGGAGGGCAGCCCAGCTGGCCGTCCCGCCCCCCGACAGCCTCGTCCAGTGAGCTTGGCGCCAGCCCCAGACACTGGGCCAGCCGGAGGGGAGCGAGTGGCAGAGTGGGCCAGCTCCCCGCCCCCCTCCGAGCTTTCCTGGGAGATCACGCGTTTGCCTGAGGCAAAGGAATCCTCCAGTCCGGCTCCTCTGCAATCTGTGGACGAGTACAGTGTGCCTAAAACTAGCGCCACATCTCACCTCCGTTCCCCGGACCTTAGCCAAGTTCACCAGCTGTGCGGGTGCAGGCCGGAGGGCGAGGCGAGGCGTGGATTCCGACCAGAGGCTCAGCAGGCCGCAGTCCCGGCACGAAGGGCGACACCTGAGCAAGGAATGGTCGATTAGAGAGCAAATACTCGCGCAGGCACTGTGCCCACTGGCCGGGAAAGTTATGGGACACCGCGCGGGTGGCGTCCAAAGAACGCGGCTGAGTTGGAGTCCTCCCGGCGGAACGGAGAGCGGCTTCCACCAGACGCCAAAAGGTGTCCCAGACCCCAGGAAGGAAATGATTCTGGCTTTTGCAGGAAATATGTTGGGAGGTGAGGGTCATAGTTAGGGAGTTCAGCCTTGCCAACCCCCGAAGAAAGAATCAAACTATTATCTCAGGAAAAGCTTTCCCAACCCTCAATGTGTGCTTCCCCTTGTAAACTCCCAAAGTAGGTGTGTTTCACTTTCGTTTCATAAACAAAAGGCTTTTAAGTATAGTCAAGTAATAGAGTGAGCCACCTGTCCAAAGATTAAGGTACTAAGTAGCAGAAGTTGGATGTTTCTGCCTTTTCTGCCACACCGTGCTGCTGTGAAGCATAGCAGAAGCCCCATCTGGGCCACGACCTCTGGATTTTGGTTCCAGCTTGCTGCTTCTTACCTACTCTTTCTGCTTTTCAAAACAGCCAAGAAAGCAGTGATGCTTCTAAGGCCTCTAGCCACTGCAGTTCTAGACCCACAGCCTGAATACAGGCTGGGGGTGAGAGTGGAGTGGGATGTATTTCATTATCAGCTGACAATGTGCGGGAGCTCTGCTGTGGCAGGTAATAGCGTCTGTCGCAGGCCAGAGTGGCCACAACAGGATGAGGCCTGACCTTTATGGCAAGTTCATTTATAGCCCTTCCCTATGTCTCATAACACGTCAATATTACATACAACACATACTCTTTTTCGAAATTCTTGGTTATCCAAACAACCACAGAACTGTTATGGTGAAGCACCTGAGTTGGCATTTGAGGTTCTGTTTCAGATCCTGCTCTTCTTTATTTAACCTCTGTGTGGCCTTTAGCAAGTCCTTTTGCCTAAGTTTCACTTAACTGTTGGTAACATTAACAGTTGCCTTAAGAGTTTTGTGTTCGATAAGACAAATATATACGTAAATGTTCAGATAGCTAGGCACTTAATGTTAATTGAAAAGGATTAATTTCTAATATTATAACATCTACTACAACTTTATTTATTTTATTTTATTTTTTTGAGATGGCATTTCGCTCTTGTTGCAATGGCGCGGTCTTGGCTCACCGCAACCTCTGCCTCCCGGGTTCAAGCGATTCTCCTGCCTCAGCCTCCTGAGTAGCTGGGACTACAGGCATGTGCCACCATGCTCGGCTAATTTTTTGTATTTTCAGTCGAGAGGAGGTTTCGCCATGTTAGCCAGGATGGTCTCGATCTCCTGACCTCGTGATCTGCCTGCCTTGGCCTCCCAAAGTGCTGGGGTTACAGATGTGAACCCCTGTGCCTGGCCATCTGTTTCAAGTTTAAAAAGCTGTTACTTGGGTCCACATAATTAAATCACGTCCCAACTTCTTGCTTTGATACCCTGAACCTTGGTTCAGATGGACTTTGTTAGGGAATACAGTCACTCAAACATGGTAGATTACAATAATGACCCCGATTCTCCACATCTCCCTGTACCTACGTCCTTTACAGTATGACTTCGCAGTTTCTCTAAAGAGGCAGAGTATATTTCCCCACCTCTTGTCTTTGTGTTTGACCATGTGACTGACTTGTTTGGCTAACAGAATGACGTAGTTCTGAACCTAGACCAGAAAAGTCTTCATATTTCTTTTGCTTCTCTGCCACTCTCTGGGACAAACATACCTTAAATATCCCACTGGTCCATGTGTATCCCTAAGAGGATGACAAATGGAGCAGAGCTACCTCAGGCAATTGACAAACCTGTAGTAAGAGGCAGAGCTGCTCTAGGTGCTGTAGCTTGAGTCACAGTTGTCTGGCCAAGCCTAGATCAGCCAAACTCCTCTCTGACCTGAAGAGGTGTGAGTAATAATAAATGTTGTTTTCAACCTGTTTGTTAGGCAGCATTGTTGCAGCAATAGCTAACCATTACACTTGGCAGTGTAGGGGAGGTATCACCAGGGGAAGGCTGGTTGCCAAGAAAGTTCACCAAAGTAGAATTTTTCTTGGGGAAATTATCTTGGTCCAGGGTCCAATTCCTAGTTTAACAAGCACAAACCCAATCTAAGTGACTAGTATATTTACACATTGAGAAATATAATTTTCAGGTAAACTAATGCTTGCATTGGCCTGTGGAACACATACTCTCTCTCTGGGCAAAAAAGATTTATCAGCATAAAATCAGAATGAAAGGAATTATTTATATGATTTTAAAACTTAGGATTTGATAGGCTGCTGTGTCCATCTTCACAACAAAGACCTACCTATTAGACAGACAAATATATCAGCCAGACAGGTTACCCTTTATTCTTACTGGTGCCGGGATGGGGCTTCCAATTTATAACTTAAAAATTTTTCCTTTCATAGGCCGGACTTTCCTTTTGTTCCAAACATTTTTCTTCAAATAGTGTTGTGCCAGAACTTTGTCATTGTCCCCTAATATCCATTCACCACTTCTTTTGGTGATAGAATCCCTGAATTTTAACTAGACACATGACCCCTACCCATTATCTAAAGACTATTTCCAGCCTCCCTCACAGACTGATGTGTCCTTAAGTCCTGACCAGTGGGTCACCCAGTCTTCTGCTGGCACAGTGGATGGGGGCTGCATCTTATGGAGTCTGTGTCCAAGAGTTCCAGGTGGAGGCCAAGTAGTGAAGGGAATGGGTGTCCTAAATAGAGCTGCAAACACTGGGTATCCCTCTTACCCTAAATATATGTTGCTCACCCAAGTGTCAGACTCCTGAGATTTCATCATTGGGAACTGATTTCCTTGGATTACCCATTGTTCCTTTTATTCAGCTTTCTTTAAAAATGCAAATATTCGTGGGGTGGATAATAAACATGTTGCTACTTAAACTTTACTATGAACACACTTTGTAGTTCTTTCTTTCTGACAGAGGGGGGCCTGGATTATGCTAAGATCTCTTAAAGGAGGGATGGGGAAGAACATCTAACCCTGAGTAGGACTGCCATTTGGACAATGCAGAAGGGACAAATCCTTAATCTTTTCTATTATATAGAAAATGGAATGAAAGTGAGGGAGGTTGGCACTGGGATTATGTACATGTGTAAAACAAAGGCATGTGAAGCCAGTTATTCACAGAGGTAGAAGCAACTCATTTCTGACTTCAGACATGTTCCAGAAATGGAACAAACCAAATTTTGCTAAAAGGTTTTCTTATTAAAGCAAGTAGACTTTAAGTTTTCAAAACTGCCTTTTCATTCCTATTGCCATATTTTTTTTTTACTAGTGGTCTACAAGACACATAAAAACACCTGTTTCTTGCTTATCTGATATTCATAATATAGATCTGACATAGAAATTCTGGAAATATCTTTGAAATGAAAATAAGATAAATAGGAGTTTGAGAATGTGATAAGATGAAAGAGATGATTATGGTGTGGTGTCAAAGAGTAGTACCCAATAAGTAAAACAAACACAAATATTCAGTAGCTGGCAAAATTCATAGAAGTCTGCATATTTAACTTTTATTTCTTAGTTTATTTTAACACAAGTATTCAATAACTGGTAAAATTCCTAGAAATCTGCATACTTAACTTGTATTTCTTTGTCTTCTATAATGTGGCCAGTGATCTTAATGATCCTAAGAGAAGGTTATTTCCAAAGTGAAGGTGTGAGTGAGCCATCCTCTGCCATGTATCAAGCAAATTATTCCAAGGCTTTGACTTCTTCTTGGTCCTTTTTATCTGACTCTGATACCAGTTTCCTGTTGGTAGTAATATCAGTCAGTTCCAATACACAGAACTCTGTCATTGTGAATATGATGTAGCATGAAAACAACTTTTGAAAATTTCCCCAGTAAAAATTCACTGTTGTGGATTCTATGTTTTGGGTTTTACAACCAAGTATAAACTTGTATGTGGGAGAAGTGGTTATGATACTGTGAAGTGTGGATTGGAGGTACAGGAGCCCTCCTATCCTAAATATAGTTTGTTTATTCAAGAGTCAGACTCCTGAGATTTCATCATTGGTAATTGATTTCTTTGGATTATCCATTGTTTTATTTATTCAGACTTCTTTTAAAATGCAAACATTCTGGGATAGATAATAAACATATTGCTACTAAAACCTTACCATAAACACACTTTCCAGTTCTTTCTAACAGAAGGTGACCTGGATTATACTAATATCTGTTGAAGGAGGAATGGTAAGGGGGCATCTGTGTATGTAGGGGAGTTTTGTGCAGAGAGGAAAGGACAGAGGCATGAAAAAGAAGGCAAAGTTAAAAGTATTTTACAATTGTGCCTACAATATTTAGCATATTTTTTAAAGTTTATAAATTAATGTGTAATATGAAAACATCACTTTCTAAATTGGCTAATACTGAATTACATGATTTTTTTTTTTTTTTTTGAGACGGAGTTTCGCTCTTGTTACCCAGGCTGGAGTGCAATGGCGCGATCTCGGCTCACCGCAACCTCCGCCTCCCGGGTTCAGGCAATTCTCCTGCCTCAGCCTCCTGAGTTGCTGGGATTATAGGCACACGCCACCATGCCCAGCTAATTTTTTGTATTTTTAGTAGAGACGGGGTTTCACCATGTTGGCCAGGATGGTCTCGATCTCTTGACCTCGTGATCCACCCGCCTCTGCCTCCCACAGTGCTGGGATTACAGGCTTGAGCCACCGCGCCCGGCTACATGATATTTTTAAACTGAACTTTTTGTCATAAATATTTTCTGAATGTAATATGTAAGCAATATGCTGGCACTTTGGGTGACCCAATTCCTCATGGAGCTAACAATATAGTTACAGACAATATAAAAAATACAGAAAAAGTTAAGTAATGCAAGGAATGGTATGAGTTAAATAATTATAAAATATGGGCACAGAGTAGTGCATGATTACTTGCCCAAAGAATGTACAAAGAGTTACTAGAGGCTGGGCACGGTGGCTCATGTCTAAGTAATCCCAGCACTTTGGGAGGCAGAGGCAGGTAGATCATGAGGTCAGGAGTTCAAGACCAGCCTGACCAAGATGGCAAAACCCCATTTCTACTAAAACTACAAAAATTTTCTGGGGGCAGTGGCGGGCACCTGTAATCCCAGCTACTTGGGAGACTGAGGCAGGAGAATTACTTGAACCCAGGTGGCAGAGGTTGCAGTGAGCCGAGATTGTACCACTGCACTCCAGCCTGCGTGACAGAGTGAGTCTCAAAAAAAAAAAAAAAAAAAAAAAGTAACTAGAAGTTGATGGTAAGAAGATATCACAGCAAAACAGAATGAAATTCAAGGCTTCAGGATGCAGGACAAAGTTAATTTACAAAAGGAATTAAGCAACTATTTAAATTATTAAGAAAATTATCTGTCCAAGCTGTGAAGTAATGTTTTATTATTAGGTGGGTCAACATGGGTAGTAGCAGGAATGTTCTGTAAAAATACATGCAGAAATCTAAGGCACACAGACATATCTATTGATGTTATTTAAGCAGCAGTCTTCATCCACTATTTGTATCAGGTAAGTTACTCTTAATTGGGCTAGTTTTGCTTCATCTTTAGAAGGTAAGTCAAATTGTCTGGCTAAAAAGCAAGAGATTAAGTTGCTAAGTGTAGATGATATAGCTAGGTGATTAAATGATCTTTCTATTTTTTTTAGATGTTTTAAAAATTAGTGTAGACATATTCTTTCTTAATGGTATTACTTTGATCACATTAGAGGGAGTTAGCCTCAAAGCAATGAGAGAAGAATCAAAATTCTAGCACTTGCTGTTTCTCCCTGAACATAGTATGAAAATAAATATTTGTCAAATTAATGTTGAGTTAGGCACACTGGTTTTTAGTCATAACAAAAATGGAGCAATTTCTTATTAGGGGTGCATTAGTGATTAACTGGTGCTAGCTTATTTCCTTTAACTCTTCTAGACTATTACACTGTTCCTAGTCCTGTTCTAACATTATTCCAGAGATAAGTCTATTCACTCATCACTGAGAATTTGCTACATGAACATGAGTTTTAGCAATCTTAGCCCACTCAGAGCTGGTGAACTGCAAACACCTGCTGATTCACTAAAGAAGCGGGCCAGGTATGAGTGGATGGGGATAGTGGAGCCAGGAGGGCATATTGACAGGTGACTGACTATATAGCCCAAGATGAGAAGGGAGGGACAGAAAATGTGCACAAAACTTCAAGGCTGAGCTGCTTTCCAGTTTGCACTCACTTATGTTTGCATATTCCACAAACAGACAAGTGGGTACACAGGCTTTAATATTTAAGTGGAGAAGAAAGTTTATTCAAGGCAAAAAATCTGTAATACAGTGGGGTGGGTTTCTAGAAGATTTAAGGGTAAGCTGCAAAGTAAGAAAAAAGAAGTGCTTCCCTACACAGTAAGTTGAAAGGTGAGAGAATATTTTTGACAGAAGTAAACTTACTTTGCTTTGTGTTCTTTGGCTTTTGGTTTGTAAGGAAGGGAAATCAGTTCTTTCTGAAACAAAACAAAATAAAAATCAAAAACGTAAAATTTTACTTCTTTCACGGACTGCAATTTACTCACTTGAAAAAAAATCTGAGATAAAATCATCACAGAGTTTATAAAGACTAGCTTCTTAAACCTGGAAACTAAGGGGTCAGAAATGTTGCACATTAGGGAGCTTTGGGTTTATTCAGGAGTATGCGTTTTGTACATACACAAGTTTACATGATACTATTATTATTTTTATTAGGTTTGTTTCTCTTCATTTAACATTTATTTTTGTATGATCTAGGCAAGATCAATCATTGTAAACAAATATTAACACTGAAACAGTCCATATTAATATCTTACAGCTTTATAATATGTGAACAATAAACTCCACAGAGAATAAATACCTAATTTCTTATGCCAGGAGGTCTGCAAACTCTGGAGATAGCTTTGATTTATCAAGGATTGCCAAATTATCTGATGTCTGTACCTTGCCCCACTCTGGTATATAGATGGCTCTGGACTATAGCTATCTAGATTTAAGGGTTCAATCTATAAAACCTATGCAAATTTGCCACAACTCATCCCTTCAGATAGATTAATCCAAATCCCTCACTATTGGTCTTACCGAGATCCTTTCTTCTCTTTGTTTTCTTAAGAGTTGGAGAATCTCTTCTCTTGTTTTAGCCTGTTTAAAGAAAGAAAAAAGTGGGTATCTTGACTCAATAATGAAGACTTATGCCTATGGAAGGTAAAATTCTTCCATTTTTGTCTTGTATTGGCAGAATTTAAAAATATTTTTTCCCAAGATATATTTATACATTTTTGTTTGTGCCAAAATCCTGTTTTTATTGAAGACAATGCTGCTTTACAAAATACTTTTGTAAAATATTAAAATGCTGTGAAATTTTATTGTTGCAAAATAATAAAATGCTGCTTTACATAACTGATCCTAAATGGAGGGTTTTTCTCCACCTAATAATAACTAACTTTTAAAAAATAACTAATATTTATTAAGACTTTACCAGATGAGCTATGCTAAGAGCTTTATAGACATATCATTATTTTCTTATAACAACTCAGAAGTTTGACGCTACTGTTACTCCATTGTACAGGTGAGGAAACTGAAGCTTGGTAAAGTTAAATAACTTACCCAGGCTATTAAATGGCAGAACTGGATTTGATCCCAGCTCCATTTGGCAACAAAGTTCAAGCTATTAACCATCACATTAAATTGCCACTAATGGTGTCAAGAAGCAGGATTAGCAAGCTCAAACAGCATGCCACCAAGTCCATGGTAAGGAGGGTCTTCTTAGTTGCTTGCATAGGGTAACAAAGCCTTATTCTCTCATCTCTCCTATTTCTGGCTTAGCTATTGAGATATGCACATTCTCAGGAAAGTTTTCCTAAGTGCAAAACACTAACTTAGTGCAGGCATGAAGATTTATCAATATATATACTGTAAAAATGGGCAAATATAGGTTCAATTTTTTTTTCATAGAATTCGTCTATATTAAGTTTTGGAGATAGCCAGGCAGACAATCACATCTGTTGTATTTGAGAACAAAAGAAAAGGCTGAGAATCTAGAATCTAACAAACAAAACTTGTAACTTCGAATAGCCAGACAAAATCAAAGAAATTCTGTTTAGATCAAGGCTGCAAGAAAGAAATAAGCAGTGAGAATAGACACAGGTTTGTCATAACCAGGTATAGATTCTGTCATCTATCTGTCTAGATTTATTGAGTACTTTCCCACAGCTGCTGTGACAAAGTACCACACACTGCATGGCTTAAAACAATATTGATCTAGTTCTGGAAACTGGAAGGCTGAAATCAAGGTATTGGTAGGGTCATGCTCCCTCTGAAACCTGTAGGGTTTCTTTGCTTCTTTGTAGTGTCTGGTGGTTTGCTGGCAAGCTGCAGCATTCCTTGGCTTGCATAACCCCAATCTCTGCCTTTGTTGTTACAGGACATTCTCTTTGTGTCCCTGTCTTCACATGGCAATTGTCTTATGAGGACTCCAATCAGACTGGATTAGGTGCACAACCTCCTCTACTATGGCTTCGTCTTAACTAATTTCATCTGCAAAGATACTGTTTCCAAATAAGGTCACATTCTGAGGTACTGCAGGTTAGAACATCAATGTAATTTTTGCATGTGGGGGGTCATGTTTCAACCCATAATAAGCACCTATGATGTAACATTGCTGTGCTAGTGGCTGAACATAACACAGTTCCTGCCTTCCAGGTGACTGCAGACTTAAGTACAAAAGACAAGTAAATAGTTTTGAGTGTGCTATGTGGGGTTAGTATAGGGTACAATGGAAGAACTGAAGATCAAGGACCCTTAATTAACACAAAGTTGTGTGTGGAGTAGGGTTGGGGACTCAGAAGATGTGCCAGAGGAGGTGATGTCCATGCTTAGACCTGAAAGTGATAGTCACCAGATAATGATGGAGACAAGATGGGGAAGAAAGCTTTTAAGGCAGAGGAAACAGCACGTGCAAAGCCCCAGAAGCTGCTGTGTGGCTAAGCAGTTCTTCAGGGCGGTTCCCCAGCCTTGATGGCTCAGCTGCAAAAGAAGCTAGAAATCTCAGGTGTGATCCACCAAGACGCATAGAGAAGGAGTCCACACTGGGAAGCTGTAATCAGTGGCGAACTGGGTGCCTTGGCTTTGCATCTTTCTGTTTAAGTCGTATGAAGCTTGTCTTTTATAAGACTACAAAGTTTTAATTTTATTTATTTTGAGATAGGATTTCTACTTTTTACTTGAGTTTTAGGCATCATATATCACAGTTACTGAAAGAAAAAATATTGAGAGTATGTTTAAAAACTGTTTCACAATATCTGTCAACTTGCATAGATTGAGTAAAATAATGTCTGTAGATAACGTCCTGGGATATTTTTAATGCATGTATTCAATGTTAGTTTCTTTTCCAACTTTTCCATTACACATGTATTCAGTTGGTATTAACTGCTCTCACACTGTGATTACATAGCACTTTATACCTTTATTATGGTATTGATCTTACTTTTCCTGCTTTATCTTTTAGTTGCTACCATGTCTCTTTCAGAATCTTACTCATCTCTTTATCCTTCCTTAGTGCTTTCACAGTGCTTTGTATGTGAATACTCAATGAATTTTTGTTGAATTGAATTGACTGTCATGATATATGAATGCAATAATTGTACTGTGTAATCCACAATTATTGGCCTAAGCAAAAAATAAAAAATTTTGGAAAGTGAAATTAAACAGTGAGTAAATTTAGTTTTTTAAATCCCCATGAACAAAATTATATGATTATTTTCTGTGTAACTATTGGGAAACCATGGACAAGTTATATCATCCTGTGCTTCTAATATAAAATGACAAATATTTATTTACTTACAAGATTAAAAAATAATAGAATAACAAATAATATTCATTCATTTTTTTTCCTTGATTTCAAGTTCTTTTTTAATATAAAGGATTTTGATACCTAATTGGTGTTGAAATGTCACATAATGCACTAGAAACAAATATTTTAAATATGATTTGATTTGTGCCTCCTGGACATGTTTCCTGGAAATAAATAACAAAACTACTGTAAATGTGTCATCTAAATGAAAACATTGAGGAATATTCTAGGAAATCTCTGTCAGTAAAGCTAAATACAATTCAGTGACAAGAGAAGATCTTTATAACTTATTAGTAAGGAAGCATAATTTACTTCTTAATTTCATATTGACAAAAATTTTCGTTTCTAATTATAGTATTTTGGTTGGGCTTATTAATGGAATTTTATATTTATAAGACTTTTTTTTTTTGAGATGGAGTCTTGCTCTGTTCCCCAAACTGAAGTGCAATGGCACGATCTCGGCTCACTGAAGCCTCCGCCTCCCAGGTTCAAACGATTCTCCTGCCTCAGACTCCCAAGCAGCTGGGACTACAGGCAAGCACCACTATGCCCAGATAATTTTGTATTCTTAATAGAGATGGGGTTTCACCATATTAGCCAGGCTGGTCTGAAACTCGTGACCTTGTGATCCACCTGCCTCAGCCTCCTAAAGTGCTGGGATTACAGGCGTCAGCCGCCATGCCCAGCAAGACTTTTTAAAAATTGTTTAATTGTTAATACAAGGGGGTCAGAATTTATATTTATAATATCTTACCATTGAATATTAACATATTGATATATTTTATTTTTTATATTGATACTATTCCTGAAAAAAATAAATTGTGAAATAAAATTGATTCCAGAAAATTAGGATGTGATATAACATATACATTTAATGTCTCATAGATAGTTAATGAATTTTAGTGTCACTTCAAGAGTTAAATTGGTTCTCTCTTTTTGGCTTTTCAGAGCCAAGTGACTTGAGTGGCAAGTGTGTATTCGTGGAGTCAGATACATTTGGTTTGAATCCCAGTTCTGGTGTGTATTGAATAGCAAGTGCTAGCTTAACTGTCCCGCCTGGTTCCTCCTTTCCTCCCTGCAACTATGCAGTAATCACTGACCTATAGGTTAGAGGTTTGTGATCTTGGGTAACCAAAGAACCACTCCTCCCCCTTGTGGATGTCTAATCTGTGAAGAAGGTTGTTGTGAAAATTGGAGATAAAACAAAAATTGCTTAATGAAATGCATGACATACATTTGATAAATGGTAGCTATTATAACACTATTATTATTAGAAGAGAAAACTTTTCTTTCAGTGCTTTTAAAATCTTGAAAAGAGTGGCTGGGTGCAGTGGCTCACACCTATAATCCCAGCACTTTTGGAAGGCTGAGGCAGGCGGATCATGAGGTCAGGAGATCGAGACCATCCTGGCCAACATGGTAAAATCCCTCTCTACTGAAAATACAAAAATTAGCTGGACCTGGTGGCACATGCCTGTAGTCCCAGCTACTTAGAAGGCTGAGGCAGGAGAATCTCTCGAACCGGGGAAGTGGAGGTTGCAGTGAGTGAGCCAAGAATGCGCCCTTGCACTCCAGCCTGGCAACAGATCAAGACTCTGTCTAAAAAAAAAAAAAAAAAAAAAAAAGAAAAAATCTTGAAAGGATTAAGAAAAAAAGAGGATAGATTGTCTGCTTTTTGAGTACAGGCATGAAGGAATTCTTATGATTCAGCCTCTGACCTATGGGTCAGTTAGTGAATACAGTTTGAGGGAGAAAAGGGGAAACAAGGAGAGATATTTAAGATATGATTTATTTTTAAACATGCAGTGCAAATTCCTCTGACCATGAATTTTCTGGTGTGTTATCAACTTTCTTTTCAGTTAATCTTTAATTATAAAAAAAAGCTCTTAATAAACACTAGATTTGAGAAGAAAGGTCCTTTCTTCTCAAGGCCTGGTTCCCACATAAAAACTGCGTTTCTTTCTTGGATTATGATTGAAATGTTTAGACTCAAACATTCATCAAAAATAACATGAAGTAGTGTTTATTTCTCTGATTATCTGTCTACTTAGCCAGAAGAAACATTCTCTTGACTATCATAGTATGAAAGCTGAATTCCTGAATATAATTTTAAAAATGTCTTAGAAGAATATTGAATTGATTCCAGAATCAGTTATTTGCTTAGATACTTGACAATCGTCTCAATACATAGAGAATCAAAGAACTCTTGAAATCAGCATGGGATAGTAGTTAAGCCCCTTGGCTCCACTATCAGATGGATCTGGGTTCAAACCCTTATACTATAGTTTAGATG